TTGGGAAGCTTCTTGATGCGCTTCCTTAGAACCATAGGCCAGTAGTATATATAGGAGTTGAGGCTGAAGAGTTCTTCAGTCTCGACAACACATCTCTTGGTGTTCTAGCTCACCTTTCTGGTGTTGTTCTTGTACTCATCTGTTTAATCTAGTTCTATCACTTCTTCTTGAACTTCTTATTAGATTTCAAGTCTGTATTTTGTGTCCGTGACAGAAACTTTGCCAATAAATTAACCACATGTTCGTAGCTTGTGGAATAAATTAACTCTAGGTAATAACTTGTAGAATAAGTTAACTCTAGATAGTAGCTTGTGTAACAAGCTCACCATGTGGCTCATACATAGATAACTTTCCTTGCAAATTAAGACATATAGCTAGTAGAGTCAACACATGTTAGAGGTCCTATAGACTATCGCCATATAGCTCTTAGTTAGAAAGTATATATGGAGGCAAGAATGAAGCCTTCTTCACTCTTGTCAATGCCTTTCTAGTCCATAGTCTTGTTTTAAGACTTTCTAGTCTTCTTATTTTTGCCAATAGCCACTACAGTTCAATATTATATCATCTTTGAGTGAATTTTTAGTTCCTTTCAGTGTCACAAGAGTGTATTGTGGATTTTCTTTCTTCCAGATTCATATCCTTGATAAGCTTGGTTAATAAAAAAAATAAAGTAAAATTAAGTAATTTTTTTTATAAATAAAGCGTTAATTTTTTTTGCTACAAAGAGATAAACATAAATTTAATAAGATTAGAAATCATTTATTTATATATTTAAAATTTAGAATACATGACTCTAGATCTAATTTGACAAGAGATTATTTATTTGTACATTTAGGATTTAAATTTCTATATAAATTATCAATCTTTTAAGTTCTAACAATACCTATAATTACTAGAGTTATTATAGAGATCAAGAATATAATGAATTCCATGGTTGTAGATAATGGTTATAGTATTATTGAAGTAAAGATCAATACTCAAAATGAAGGTATTATATTTGCACATTACAAAGCAACAATCTTAACCTAAAATAAAAATAAATCTTAAACTTTTATATTTTTATTTAATATGTTATTTTATAATTATTAAAATCAAAAATGTAAAAAGCTAAAAGCAATAAAGAGAAGATAGACTTAGAATATGAAACTTGTATTAAACAAAGCCAAATTGTAATTTTGAGCATCTATAGCTTGATTCTTGAAAACAAAGATTGTCAAAAATTTGTTATATATTATTCTTACTTCTAAAATGTATGTTTTCTTAACAATCTTCTTGAAGCTCCTCAAATTTCTTCTTGATGTTTGTCACATCTTTTGAATTGAATCCAAAAATAGACTTTATAAATTGAGCAACAAAGAGGAGAAAAATATTCTGTCTTTGCACATAAAGTAATATTGATATAAACGAGTGGTCTCATAGTATCTATTATAGACACCACAAATAAAAAAAAATACTTTAAGCCTCAATTGTTTTATTTCAAACTAAAACTAAAACACACTTGTGCTTACATCTTGAACCAATTTTAGCATGTTGATGAATAAACAATCTTGTGTTACAAATAAGAATAGCACTTTTTTTTAGATTGCTACAAAATTTTAACAAATTTCTCTACTCATCCCCCTTAAATTTAAAATTACCAATCTCAGCATGGCTAATGCAAGCTCTTACAAAGAGCATCTATTTCATGTACTCATCTATAACTTAGAAACTATAAAATTATATAACTCCACTAAAATTATTAAACATCTCATAATTCATTAAATTTCTATCGACCAAGATTAATAATTAAACATGATACCTTTGTATATACCTCTATATATGCACATGTGTGAATGAAGTAGAAAAATAATTATTTATTTAATTCCAACATATCACCAAAATATTTAATAATTTCAAAAAAATAATAAATAAATAAAAATTATGTAAATAATTTAATGAAAATAATCTTCATGAATTGTATTTGTAATGCTATATATTTTCTCAAAATAATAAATACAAGACATTTAAGCTAAAACCAACACTACAGTGTGAAAAAAATTAATTGAATTACAAAAGAATGTTATTTTCACTAAACTACAAAATTTCTTAGACTCTGATAAGACATTGAGGTGGAATTGTGGACAATCCAAAACTCTTTAATTTTTTGAAAAGATTTTAACTCTCATCAAGAATAGGATTAATCAAGAAGTAGAATGAATCAATCATGAAATTTATCTTTGATTGTAAAAGATCAAAATGCCTAATGAGGTCAATAGTTTTGATATCCTCCACTCAAATAGAAGCGAAAAGGAGTTAATACATAGTTACTTTTGAAATAAAAGGAAATAACTAATTCAATGAATTTGAAGACTGTAGCAAAGAGCAGTAGCATACACACTCCTTTCTTTGCACAACCATTTTAGTGACATGCCATTGCGTGGCATGTTACACAAAAGGCCATCCAATTGGGAAGAAGATTCCAGAAACTTCTAGAACCCAGTGGAGGAAGATCGTCACCACTGATACACTCTTTGGCAAGGTGGGCAATAGGAAATGCCTCCTTTCCAAACATTGTTGACTGAGGGATACAATTTTTGGACTTTCCATGTGGCTTCAACTGCTCCTTCTCCAAAGTTTCTTGTGCCATTATTATTGTCATCAATAAATTTAAGGTAAAAAAATAAAAATTTGTGCATGGTAATGATATTGCAACTACAGCAAGACACTACTTTCTTAAAATTGTACTAAAGGTAAAAATTAAAATTTTGGACCTTTTTGTCAAAGAATGTAGGTATGTTCGAGTCTTCTTCGTAATAATAACAACATATATATATATATATATATATTTTTTACACGAAAAATATGCTCAAACCCATAAATTTATACATGGTGAAAGGTGATTTGGGAAGATTTCTTTATCTCAATTGTTTCATAAAACATTTAGAGGAGAAGTACTGCAAATATTCTATGTTTTTGAAGCTCTTTTACTACTTGATAATGTAATATTTTTTTTTAAAAATTCATAAGGAGAAAAGATGCATAAAAATTATTGGTTACTGAGTTTTGATCTATTTCATGATTTTTAGCTTAATAGAGTACTGTATACAATTAAGAGAAGCACTAAATATGTCACTAATGCTTCAAAAAAGAAAAGAGGTTAAAGACGTTATTGAAAGATATTTTGAAAGCTTAGACTTAATGAAGATGGATAAAACACAAAAGCACCAATATATATATATATATATATATATATGAGTACTAATTTTAGAAGCACAATCAGGGCATTTCAATATCAGTAACTTTCATGTGTAAATCCACAAAATTTGTAATTTCTTGAAAATTAAGCATTCTCGGCAACAGAGTATGAGGTGCTTGCAATTCACAGCTCCACTAATAAAAATCTGTCCACACTTCAAAAGTGACATCAAACTCAATTTGTTAACAAGCACATGTAAATCATTCATTCAAATATTACTTGGGATTTTATCTTTTTTATACTTAGAATGCAATCATAATTAGATTTTTGATACAATTCTCAAAGGAAAGATTCATGTGATTTTGAATTGTTCACATTAAAATAAAATAAAAATTTCATGTTCGTATTTGTTTATATTTATGATGAAGGGAAATATTACACACAAAACAAAAGGAAAAGAAGGAGTAGAAGTCTCTTGATTTTAATCATGTGATTGAATTTGTTGATTGAGACATGGAGGTGAAATATTTTTTGGGGTATTTTGCCATACATTTTGTTTATATATGTAATGTAGGAACAGAGGTTTTAAAAAGAATTATGTCCATGTATTGTGTACATCTACTAGGCTATGAAATGTATCATGAGACTTGATTTTGAGTGCCAAAGGCATGACTAGAATGCAATCATTTTTGTGTTACATGGAACTTAAAGTGCAAAGTCAGAGAACATTGGAATACTTCAATGAATCACTCCTGGTTTGAGGTTTATGACACAATTTCAAATTTAATCTAAAAATTACCTAGGAACCACCTGTATTTCATGTGAAGATTTCTAGAGCCCACCCACTATGTGGTATTACTTGGTGGTAAGGACAAGGTAGTATGAATATCATATAAAAAAAGTATTGTTGACTACATATACCCATGTGAAGTGGAGCACTTTGGATTGTGTAGGATCACACCACATTGAATTTTGAGATGAGCTTATTTTAGCATTCTTATATCCCGTTCACAATTATGATTATGATTATTATTATTATTATTTTGGAGTATGGATTTCAAACGCAAATGGAATTTAGGCTTTGTAGGGCCATTCCTCCCTTACACCATTTGTCTCAGTAATGATTGATCAATACTTGAATGAAGAGGACTTGGTCAATAAGTAGACCTTGGGGCTCCTACTTCACTTTTGCACAATAGATATGCTCTGATATTGGATAAGGAACAGCTGCTCATTTGAATCAGCACATACAGACTGAAGAAATGCTGTTACACCAAAATAATAATAATAATAATAATAAAATCAATAAAAGTTGTGTCTTTCTTTTTCTTTCTTCCTTTCTTAACAAATCCAGCTCTGTGCTCCATGGCATTTTCATGTTCCGTTACCTATCACAAGCACCCACCTCCAACACTGTTCAGAAAAGGACGTTGATACATATATCACTAACACACACACACTAAATAATAAATAAACAAATAAATAACCATCATCGTCATCATATACCCTCCCTTACATACAAAGAATTGATTCCTTGTCCCATATGCCATTGAATCTGTCACCTGTTATTTGGGTATTCTATTCCGCGGGTCCTCAATACACCATAAAACTCTTGCAAAGGCGGTACTTTCCACGTGGCACACATGTGCTGGTCGAGACACAGGAAAATATGGCGTGGCAGAAACCCCAAAAGGAGCTACCTCTGCAATGCAGACTGGAGAAAGCGACGAAGAAGCCTTTTGCTTTTTAGCCGAGTGCCAGTGATCAAAGTGGAAGATCAGAAAGGCGAAAGTTAACCGAACTGGGGGAAGCGGGGCAACGAGAGGGCCAGCCAGGGACGGGGAGGCAAGCAGATGTGGGGACTTGGTAGCGTGCAATCGGAAAGGGTAGCGCGCACACACCATTATATTCGTTTTCCATGATCGCTCGGAAGGGATCTGAAGTTGGAGTGCCCAGGATTTGCGCCGATTTGGTTACGTCTCGATGAAATCGCGCAAGCGAGAAGCTGCGACAGCGTCGTCGGAGCAAGGGATTTGCAGTTCTGGCGAGTGGAGAGGGGATGAGCGAGGAGGAGGAGGAGGGGCGTTGCTGCCCGGTTTGCCGGATGAGGTAGCTGCCCTTGTGCTGGCCAGGCTGCCGAGGTCGCTGCTGCTGGAGTTGAAGAGGGTCTGCAAGTCCTGGAAGAAGGCGCTGGAGCAGCCTTTCGTTGCGGAGACAAGGGCGGGGTTGCCGGGGTGCATGGAGGAGTGGTTGTATGTCCAGAGCTGGAATTCCTACACCGGAAAGGTGGCATGGTGGGCGTTTGATTGGCAGGTCGGGAAGTGGCTGTGCCTGCCCACTGTTCCGCGCAGGCGGGGTGTGTCGGCGGAGGTTTTCGGACGGGCGTCCGCCGTGCTGCGTGGGAAGTTGTATGTGATGGGGGGAAAAGCGGGACCTTGTGGTCCCACGCTGCGCGATCTCTTTGTTTACTGCCCCCTTAGGAATAAATGGTCGCGACGGAAGCAAATGATCAGCACACGTCACAGCCCTCTCGTCTGCGTCTTACGTGGGAAGGTACATGCCTTTGCTTCGATTTCGTCCTTGCTGCATCATACGATTGTTTGTTGATATGTTATAGCGCGACTGCACACGTTTGTTAGATGTCATGTCAAATCATGACTGGCTCTTGTGTCGTAATTCTTAGCCGACGCCTTGATGCATCAAGATCAATCTCGATGAGGTATGTCTTGTGCTAATTGGTTTCAAATTGGACGGAATTTTGGTTAAGTTTTTGGTTGGTTACACGGTGTAGGGTGCGTCTTGATTCTCGTCCAGAACGCTTAGATGTTCCCAACGGAGTAAAATCTTTGTGAATTAGTTAAAGATCGCGCATCAAGCAGCATCTTACATTCTCCGTTGTGTATATTGATAATGTGATTGTGTGAACAGGTGTGGTATCTTCTGACAAATATTTACGTGCGAAGTTGTACGTGCTAGGTGGGTTTGATTGGGATAATCAGCGTATGGATGCATCAGAGGTCTACGATTACGAAAAAGATGAGTGGGCTGTCATTGAGAACACAGGGCATCCTACGTTACCAGCTCCTTCGTGGTACAAAAAAGATTGGCGACCAGAATGGCAAAGCATTGTCCTTAACAACCAATCCTATTTTTGCTCCTACACTGAGGAAGACGGACGTGCTTTTATCAAAGAATATGATCCTGAAACTGGCATTTGGAAACTTAAAAAGCACAAGCTCAAGGCATTATTAAGGTGCAAATCTAGTAGTTTGTTTGAGTACCAATCATCAAGTATTCCTGTGAATCACAGAGGAAATTGTTTTAGGAACTTTGTGGTAGGGCATGGGCAGATTGCCATTGAAGCAAAACTCATCCCACACAAAAAGATCCCATATGTTCAGCAGCAACAGACTTGTAGTTTTGCTTGGTGAATTGTTATCTGAAACTGAAGGGTCACCTCTAGTCTTGGTTATTTCATGTGAAGGTATGGATTGAGCACGGTGCTGGCTGGGAAACTGCACACAGTGGATTGGGCAGCTGGAAGGGTACGCGTAGCTGACACCAGTGGCATGGGGTGGATTCAAATGAAGGAGATTCAAAATCTACCTTGGGTACAAATCTGGAGAGCTAATCCACAAATGGTGGGGCTCGGAACATCCTTGTTTGTTGTGAAAAGAGGCCTTCAGATTATGAGTATAGATGTCAGCAAAGTGGACTCCGGACAGTTGCTGCGCTTCTGGGGTGCCCCAATGGGTCCCGGTGTCAAGGATGAAGAGGTCCTCAGCTGCGAAGTATTGGCACTATGATCCTTGCCTTGTATTTCTGCTGGTCTTGAGCAGAGACTGTAAGTGAGACCACAGACCTTTTCATTTTTCATAGTTGGGAAATTAGCTGCTAGCGCTGGGAAAGGGATGTCATGTATTCAGATCCTTGCTGTGCGGTGAAGAAAAAAGCATTTTAAAGATGAGGGGGCGCCGGGTCAATGTTAACATTGTTCAGCACCATGCTGTGAACTTTTTGCAGGCTAGGATAACATGGGTCTATTACCTTGTGTTGAATTGATCTGAAGAGGGAGGGAGAAACGGTGTATGCTTAAATTTTCCCTCGTCACCAGCAGCACAAGGCTGCATCCTTCAGTTGGCAAAGAAATGCCATGAACCTTTTGATGGAAGAACGGAATCATGTGATGAGTCCCACCGGAAGGATCTTAGCGAGGTTTACATATGTTGTAGGCCGTTGGCGGATGGATCGTGTCGTAGATGTATTGGGGAGCCGAACCGTATAGAACTATTGAAAAGTAGAAAATTCTGTTTGCAAGCAGAGGATGTTGTTGCGTTGGAGAATGACTTAAAGAGCAATAGCATCCTGTTCCGTCTGAAGGACAATTCTTGCATGGCTGCATTTTTTGAGGTGCACCTAAATATCACGGTGTTCTTTGCCAGTGCCATCACTGAGCAGACTGCACAAATACTGTAAGCTTGGTTAATGCAGCGGTCTCCTTTCTTCTTATTCTTCTTCTTCTTTCTAATTCTTTTACTTACTAATGTCTCTAATTCTTTTCCTGCTTCTGATTGAAGTAGAATGATGTTTCGAAGTTTATCATGCTCATCTGCGTAACTTGAATCCTTTCACAGACTTGCACAGCTGCCTCTCCCAAAAATTGCCACAAACTGAAGATTTTGAAGTAAGGTGAGTGAGCAGTCCTGTTGTCACTGTTTCCAGTTTGTTGGGGTTTATGATATAAATGCAACTTTAGATGAAATGTGATCATGTTATTAAACCATAAAATTGAAAATGATGGTAGAAAAAACGTGAAACCGAGATATTGAATCCACATTTATTCGTCAATAAATCGTAGAACTATTCATGCACCAAGGCAGATTTTCAACTTTGAACGTCTGAAGTGACCTCAGGTGCCCATCGGTTGGGTTGTACCATATATTCCAATTGTGCTGTATGTGCTTTTTCAAACGTCTTTGAGATTTAACTTTGATATATATATATATTTATATTCTCATACATTTACAATTACACTCTTCATTAAGTTAGGCATTGGTTGAGCTATTAGTGAATCGATATTTTGAAAAATTCACCAAAATTACATGTTCTATTGCTCAGCTTGAAATTATGAAAGTGGTCTAACAGATGGATGCTGCACAGAAAGTTTAACTACTGTTGTCAATAATTAATAGATTTGGTATATACAATGGTGCGCTCTAGTTGATACAAGTGAGCAATATATCAAAAGAATGGTGAGCTGTGCAAATTTCAGCTTATAGTATTACCAGTTTGAAATTGATGATTTAGCATATATAATTATGGTATATTCTTATAAAAAGAAAAATCGCTTGAAATCAATATTTTGAAAGGGTTTTGAACTGTCTACTTGTGTGAATGTCACCTAAAAAACAAATGAGACTACCAATTTCTATTTCAATACAAGCTGATATTTTGTTTGAATACATGTAGAAGAGGAGTTCGGAATTAGGAACACTTTTGAACAATTATCAATGTTATCCACAGGTTAAACCATTTGTGGGAGGAATATCAGTACTTTGTCGTATTAACCCATTCATTTTGCATACTTATTTTCTGTAATAAATCAGTTTCGTACGTTGTTGGCTCAGTCTCCTAACAATGTGCAAAATACAAACTGTGCACCAAGTAATACACCTGTTTACAGATTATGGTTTTGAGTGATTGTACCCGATCAAAATACTTCAATCAACAGGCATTGAGACCTGAAAAGTCGACTGTGGATTCACACATTTCAAGCCTTAACTCCCAACTGTGAACGCATTGCATGGATTACGTGTAATCGATCATGTGCTCACTGGCAAGGTGGCACGTGTGCGGGCCTTGCTGTGGACCAACAAGCTATTCTCCATGAATAGCACTTTTTTCATGATGCACAACATTTTCACTCGTGATAATCTGATTTGAATTACAGTTATTATTATTTTTCTAGAGTTAAAATTATTGCATATCAACATAGTGATCTTAAACATTCTATGTATGTAATTAGCATGAAAAATTATGGTTTTTAAAAGGAAAAAACTATAATTTAAAAAATTAAAAATAAAAATAAAAAATCAACAAATATACTGTATTTGATATTAAACGTGTCAAAATATCTTTTTATCAGAAAAAAATGTGATGAAATTTAAATCATGAGATATGATTTTAATATTGTATACATATTAAAAAGTTCAAATAAAGTTCATTTTATAAAATTCATGTTCATACGTTCCAAAACTTTGTTGTATTACTTTGTAAAATTGAACCATTTTAAGTACTTATAAATAAATCATATTGGGTATAGTCATCTTCACTCACATCTTTCTTTGGCCCAAAGTATGCTTTGCCTATTTGGCACTTTTAGCCACACTTAATAACTACAATTGTTGAAAATAAAAAATATAAAAATTAGCTATTTCAAAACTGTCTTTGCTCAATAACTATTATTTGTGTTGTTGCTGCAAAGCCCAAATATCACATATTACCATGTCAGCATAGTAGTAAAACTTAGCAATACCAATGCATTCATTTTGTACATATCTATACTTATTGCTACTAAATACATTATTCCTTGCCACAACAATACATGGTTATACAATACTAATTCAAACACATTAAGATTATGTTACTTAGATTGAATATTACCTAATTTTTTTTTATAGTGGCTCACTCTATTTTTTATTGATATTTATTTTTAAATTACAAAGCTAATTTTATTCCACATTTGAGGTCTATTATTACATATATTTGAAAGTAAAAGATTTCTTTATTACAATATACTATGATATAGGAGTACCTCACAAAAATTGCATCAACTAAAATAAAGTCAATGTTATCCTTTTCTAATTCTTACATAGATTAAAATGGTTCTATAAATACATCTATATTGAAGCACTTTATCTAATGCCATTTCAAGCTTGTTATCATTTAGATATATAAAAAAGAATGCATTAATCTAAAATACAATGTGAAACTTTTTATATAAATGTATAATTGGTAGATATTGATGCTAGCTAATTAAATGCACTTGCCAAGATATAAAGTTATTGTAAGATAATAAAAGCAAAGATTATCTTTTTTATTAATATTAAAAATATTACTTTATGACTATTCTTAGTTGATATAATGCTAGTATTTATACAAAATAATTATATTAGTTTTATTCTTTCTTATTAAAGATTTATGTCTAGATATACTTGTTAAAAAATAAACTTACATAAAATTGATAAGAAAGAATCATGACTTAGACATGTATTTATAAAAAAAGAATATATAAGAATAATTATTACCAATCATAAATTACTAAAGAGACTAAAATTAAGACTAGGATGTGCAAAAGATATTAATAAAACTAAAGAAGATCTAAGTCTTTCCTATATATTTATTAATTAATAAAAAAATAATATAAAATATTTTAAAAGACCAAAAAGTTTGCAAACTAAGTGTCTAAATTGTAGGATGCTTATATAAGCAGATCTTAGATGTAAGAAATTTCTACAAGCAATTTTCAAAGCCATTTGGAATATATAAGGACATCTAAAAATAATATTTTATATGAGAATCTTCTTCAATTCTTTTTTGTATCAGAAAAGATATTTATCTATTTAATTTTTTTCTACTAACTTTTACTTGATTTTTTTTAACCAAGTTATCTATATAAGTAAATTCTAAAAATTTATGCTAAAATAATTGGTTATGATTATGCCACCTACCCATATAACATAAAGATCTTATTGCTTATGGTATATCTCTAAGCATAGCCTTTATCTCTCTAGAATTTATTTTTATCTTTATTAAAAATATATATATTTTGTGTTTGTAATGATGAAATTTCATCTAATTTTATATTCATTTATTAATGTATATTTCTAAGTCATTTAAATTAGTTTTTAAAATTTTAAAATTAAAATTTAGAAGACAAGAATTTTTTTTAAAGAAATCATTTTTAATTTATAAGTACTACTAATAATAATAATTCATTTCATCATCAAAAGATTTTTCTTCAAAAAATATTCTTTGTTATATGGCTTACAAGTTCTTTTGTAGCTAAGGCAAGATTACTAAACTACTGTTAAGTGTATTTAAATTATTATCTTTTCTTTCTATTTATATTTTTTATTCTATTTTTTAATTAAATATCAATATTTAATATTAAAATATTAAGTTTTATCTTTATTATGTAAATAAATATTATTACATATAATAAATTAAGTGCCATAAATCAATTATAAAATATACAATCTAAAGCAAATACAAATGTACAATCAACACACTTACAAGTGTTTCTCTCTTCTTCCTAATTGATTAAGAATCCTTCCATTTATCTAGGAAGATAATACATATATAGTAAAAAATGGATGCTATAATAATGCTACAAAATTGTATACAACCAAGTCAATATTCTAGCAACTAGACCACCAAAATATGTGAGATATAAAAGAAAGAATCTTCAATCTTTGTCAATATATGAAACATGATTAAAAGACTTCTTACAACAAGAACAAATCCAATCTCATGAAGAAAGAGTCAAAAGAAGTAGTATGAAGTATCTCATATGCCATCCATATTAGCATTGATCATACAATAACATGGTAGCAACTCATTTCTTCTGACCACATATAAAGAAAAAAAGACCATTTGGAACAATTACTAATTTAGAATATACTAAATCATCAATAGAGAGATGATAAGAGGCACAATTCTTAGAATGCTCTTAACTTTCTTGTCCATCTTTGCCTTTGAGCAATAAAATACCATTGAGGAACATATTCTTGATACAAAAAATTATACTCTTTGATTTAATATTGTAAATACAAAAAATCTCTTTTAAAAAATCACTACAAATAAGGTCAATAAGCTCCACTACAAATGTAATCATATTATAAAATATCACAATATTCAGTAATAAATAAGAATTCCAGAGCCATTGACATGGCTCTCTTAGAAAACTTTTGTAACAAGATATAGATAAGATAATTATATAGATAGATAGAAACATGGAAGTTTCTAGAATTGAGATTAGGTTAGTGTACCATGTAGGATCCATAATAGAATATTCTATAAAAAATATAGGACAATTACTTAGATAGGGTCTATTGTGGAATCTTCTAAAAAAGACTTAAGGTAGTTATTTAGGTAGAATCTACCATAGAATCTTCTAAAAAAAGAATTTAAGGAGGTTATTTAAGTAGAATCTACTACTTAAGAATATTCTAAAAAGTCCAAGGTGGTACGACAAGGTATAAATAGGAATGGCTAGGGCCTTTTGGGACATGTCGTCAGATATGGCTTCAGACCTTTTTTCTTAGTAAAGTTTGGTTTTGCATCTTTTTGTTCAGTTCTATTCTGTTCTTTTCTTGGTTGCTCAATTTGTCTTTCATGTTCTATTCTGTTTACTTCCATTCAGTTTTGTTTTGGTCTATTTTGTCTTATTTTGTGTTGAGGTTTAATGTTGCTATAGAATAAAAAGATCTTGGATTTTTTGAGATAGTCTGATTTTATTCTCATTGGTATCAAAGCGAGTATTAGACTATTTGCTTTTGGTAGCATTGTTGTGATGTAATATGACTATATAGTGAAATTATAATCAAAATTGAATTTCTAATTAATATCTAATTATCTTAGTTCAATTATAATTTGAAGTGTCTAAACATGGCTTTTATAAAAGCCTCTTAGGTTATTTTCTTATCTTAATAGTTAGTAAGTTGAAAGTTAGTTAGAAATTTTATCTTCTAGGTTGTAGAGACTCTTCTACTACCTGAGAAAGACCATAAATTGATAAAATCAAGTTAAAAGAGGTGAATAATTAGTATAGTTGGTACTAGGATTAAGTTGAAAGTAGGGTTGGGCTAAAAAATCCTTAGGATAGGTTAGATTGATATTTGGGGATTAGTCGTTTGTAAGATAGGATTGAAATCAGACTTCTAGCCACAAAAATGACAGCCTAGGATAAAATAGGGATTCATTTGAAGATCCGAAGTTAGAGTTCGAAAGTTAGCTTGAAGTTCTTTTCAAAGGCATAAGGATTGTTTTTGGAAGGTTTTTGAGGACTTAACAATTATTATTCAAAGTCAAGGTTTGTATTGGTGATTTGGATTTTATATAATATGATTAGGGCTAGCAATTTTGGCTACTTCGTGCAATTGGTGTAACATCTATGGTTGAAAATTTGATAATATTTGGATTATTAGATGTGCTAAGTGTATACAAAATTTTGTGATAACCTAACGGCATGATTTAGAGATATTTGGTTTTTGGCACAAGAGGGTTTCAAAAGTTGGCAATTTGAAGTTGGGTAGGATTTCTGTGATATCTGAAGATCTATGAGTTGGATCAAGGTGAAATTTGGCATAATATTGAAGGACTTGAAGATCAAGCTGCATACCAATTTTGAGTCAAAGTTAGCGGTTGAAAAGACAGAAATCACTATAGGGATTTTTGCTTCACTTTTCAAGTTGGTGGCCGAATGACATCAATGCAATTTTTGGAGGTTTTCTCACGATTTTTAAGTTAGATTGGATTAAAAATTCTTGAGCATATAGAAGACTTACATT